CTGCCTCTCCCTTTAACTGGAATTTTCTATTTTCTCAAACCAACAAAAAGCTGAAAAAAGACCCTGAATCGGGGCCTGAGGCACTGCTTCTTCATTTCTCTGCCTCTTAGGATTGATGTGACAGTTATCAGATTCCTTAATCTCATAAGCCTCAATTTTTTCATCTATAAAATGGGTGTAATCATTCTGACCTCACAGTATGTATCAAGAGGTTAGACAGCTCATGGTGCACAGCAGGCTTTCAGGACACGATAATTCTCCATCAGGGTTCCAGGAAGGGGCCAGCCCTCTCTGAGTTCTTTCTTGCCTGTCCACTCCCGCCCCCCGCCCCGACCTACCCCATCTTCCACATTCTCCTTTCTATTAGTCCCTGATGTTTTGGGGCAAATCTTTCCAATTACATTGTAAGCTCCTGAGGGCAGAAGCAGGGGCAAGGCCTTCTTAACTGTAAGGAGCCGTCTTTCTTCTGGGTTTGGGTCCAGGCTGGCCTCCTGGGGGAGGCAGGGAAGAAGGAGAGAACTGTCAGCCCCCTAGAGGTTCAGAGCCAAATGTACAAACTCAACAGCCCCTCTTTTCTTCCTCTTTTCTCTCCATTTCCCAAACTGCAGTTCTGTGACCACTTGAAATAAACTGCTTCTTTCCAGTTGACCATGGCCTAGAAACATGGCCCCATTGACTCGGGAGTACATTTGGCTTTGTCAGAGAAGGTGTGATATGTTCACTCCTAACCACCCAGCCCCTATGCGCCCATCCCCATCACATCTGGACAAAGACAAAGGCCTCTGCTCCATCAACCTGAGCCGCCTGAGTCCATCTGTCACTCACTGATCGATGGCCAATTCTCCCTCCCTCTAACTGCTGCTCCATCTGCCAGGGACTACGGAGGCCTAGGGGACCAGCCCCCACTTTTCTCACTCCCCTAAAGAGTCTCCAGAACACAGTCCCCATTCACCACAGGGTCCCCACCCCAAGGCTACCCCCTCACTCCCCCCTCACTCCTTCTCTCCAGTGAGAGCTCTAAACAGGTACCTCTAAGCCTTCTCTGGGACCACCAACCCCCTCTCCAGTCCTCAGTCCCACCCACCCCTAGCTCCTCCAGTCTCAAGAAACAGTGAAGCAGGGGGACACAGCTCAGAAAGCCAGAAAAGGGACAGAAAGACTAAGTGTCACAGAGCATCTCCCTGGCTGGTGGGTGAGGCTGAGTAGCAGGAAGGCAGGAGGAATAGACACCCAGGCACAGGAAGGGGTCTGAGAGGGACACTGGGGGCCACAGACTCCGAGGCAGAGACAGAGAAGCCAGCCCAGGCATTGAGGGCTCTGAGAGCCTACAGAGCCTTTTGGTTTCTGGGTTCCAGGAGGGCCTCCCCATCTGACAGGGTCGTGGAGCTGAAATGGCTCATATTCCCATCCTGAAACCCATGGAGGGGAACTAAGCTCTTTTCCAGAAACGGGTGGAAGCATCTCTCCTGAGCCATGGCTTCCTCTGTCTTCATTTGACTACTTTTCTCAGGATTCAGAATTTTTTGTCTCTCTCTCTGTTTCTTCATGTTTATCTATCTCTGCACTCACGTTTGCACACTCGCTCGCGCTCTCCTCTGTCTCTGCCTCCAATAATTTTTTAGGGACTCTGCCTTGGGGCTCCCGCTCTCCAGCATGTGGGAAACCTGACCTTCATCATCTGTTTTTTATATTTTGGAAACATCGGCTTCACTTCCTACCTGAGGGAGGTGGGGGTGGAGGAGCGGCTGCCTGGCTCCACCCTTTCCCCCACTCTTTTCAGAATCAGTCCCCTCCCCTACAGCCTTGCTCCTGGGAGGACAAGCTGGGGCTGTCCCTGCGCTCAGACTCTGGCATCAGGAGGCTCAGCCCAGGTCCTGATTCATGGTCTTCCCTCTGAAGCTCACCACAGTGTAGGGGAAGTGGTGAGGCCTCCTGTGATGGACTACTGGTTTGCTGATTTGGGAGAAAGGGGAAATTCCAGGCACAAAAGAGCCCAGGAGGTTAAGAGATTTCACCTATGGGAAACAGGATAGAAAGTGGTTCAGGCCGGGCGCGGTGGTTCACGCCTGTAATCCCAGCACTTTGGGAAGCCAAAGTGGGCGGATCACTTGAGGTCAGGAGTTTGAGACCAGCCTGGCCAACATAGTGAAACTCTGTCTCTACTAAAAATACAAAAATTAGCCACACTTGGTGGCCTGCGCCTATAATCCCAGCTACTCCAGAGGCTGAGGCACAAGAATCGCTTGAACCCGGGAGGCAGAGGTTGCAGTGAGCCAAGATCGCACCACTACCCTGGGTGACAGAGTGAGACTCCATCTAAAAAAAAAAAAAAAAAAAAAGAAAAGAAAGAAAAGAAAAACAAAAAGAAAAAAAGAAAAGAAAAACAAAAGAAAGTAGTTCAACCCTGTAATTCCAACACTTTGGGAGGCTGAGGTGGGAGGATTGCTTGAGCCCAGGAGCTCAAGAACAGCCTGGGCAACATAGTGAGATCCTGTCTACACAAAAAAATACAAAAATTAGCTGGGCATGGTGGCTCACACCTATAGTCCTAGCTACTTGGGAGGCTGAGGTGGGAGAATCACTTGAGCCTGGGAGGTGGAGGTTGCAAGTGAGCCAAGATCAGGCCACTGCATTCTAGTCTGGGCAACAGAGCAAGACCCAAGACCCTATCAGAAAAGAAAAGAAGGAGAGAGAGAGAGGGAGGGAGGGAGGGAGGGAGGGAAAAGAAAGAAAGAATAAAAGAGGTTCAAGTTATTTCTGTCCCCTGGCAGAGTTATACCCAAACAAGTTGTCTAAGATGTTGTCACAGATGTTTGAAATTTGTGTAAATACTAGTAGGTCACTGATTAATAAGATTGAATCCCTGATTCCGAATCCCAAGCTCTTTATGTCAAGTTTTCCAAGACCTGAGAAATGTATTTTGTACATTTCTTTTCTCCACAAAACTCTAAGAATAGACACTCAATATCCCAAGGACCTTCTGCAACAGGACCCCAGTTGCAGAAGCATTATCTCTACCACCTTCTGGGAGGCCTGGAAGCATCACTTGGCAAAGATTAAGTGGAAAGGCTAGAAGACCGTATTTCAGGAAGAGGAACTGGGAGAGAAGGCACTGATGGGAAAGCGCAGATGATGGTTGGGGCAGGAGCTAGTACAGGCACCTGGTTGGGGAGTCTGACTTTGTGTGGAGGAATGGAAAGGGGGACACAGGCCTAGGTGGGGGGCTGGGGCCAGCTCATGGAGGCCTGAAGGCCAGTTCAGCTTATCCTCCCGTTTTTGAGTAGAAGAGTAATACTCCAAAAGAGGTGTCTGAGTCTTGGCCTGCAGGGAAAAAGGTGGACAATAAAGAACGCAGCTGGGAGGCTGGAATAACCCTTCAGACAGTCTAGGATGATGCGACAGAAACATGCAGAAAAAAAGATATTGAAAAGACACTTTGAAGGAAATTTAGCATTTTGGAGTCTGGGCCATCTGCCCTCTTCCCAAGGATTAATATCCAAGTTAAGCGTTTTGAGTGGGGTAGGAGCATGGCAGAAACATACAGGCAGCAAGAAAACATAGAGCATTGGACATGTTGAGCCTTCTAGACCTCGCACAGACACTGTGGTGTGAGGACTGCCAGAAGCCCTGGGGGAGACAGGGAGGACGGCCATCCAATGGCTCCTGTATGAAGATGGCACTGAGGGCTCTGAGCTGGACACTGGCCTGCAGACTCTGGCCTGTGAGGCCCAGGCTATGGGCTCCACCTGATCTTTGAGTGCATGGGCAGACTGCAGATCAGGGGCCTGCAGTAGCATTTCATGTATTTCAATTCTTTGAAATGATTCCTCTCCCTGGGTGGCAGGAAAAAAAAAAAAAAACCCAAATAAGCAAAATACAGTTAAGAACTCAAGAACTGCCAATTCAGAAACTCTAATCTGCTCAAAAAGTTCAATCCCTTTCTTTCAGAAGCCAAAAATCCATTTCCATCTCAGATTGTATATGTGTGTGTGTCTGAGAGCTGGTGAGGGAGACAGTGAGTATGAGGGGGAGGCCACTGAGAGGACTTTGTTGCTGTGTGAGCTACTGCTCCGTACTGCTCCGTGGACCTGTGTGTGTTGCACGCACATTTGTGCCTGTTTCTCAGGCCCCTGTGTGCCTTGAACTTTCAAACCATAACAGAAACACTGAAGCTTGGCAAAGATATCACAGGAATAATTATCTAATTTCAGAACATGTTATTATAATACCTACATGATGTGTAACGAACTTAACAATGTTCACGTTATATTCACCTACTCTGAGCTATAGATTCACAATGCCAAGTTTTACCCTCAGAAGTTTCTCCAAGACACAAGGGCAGAGCAGGCCCCAAAGAAGGCTCTTCAGGGAATATTCCCCCACAACAGCTCCCTCACGGATTGAGATGTTTGGCTGGGTAGATGTCTATCGGGAAATTGCTGGAAGGAGGACAGAGCCTATCTTGGGATGGCAACTGTTCCTCCCAGAATCCTCATTCCTCTCCAGAAGAGAAGACGTGGAACTGATAAGGAACTAGCAGCCATATTGGGGAGACACAGACAGGCTTTTCCTGATTCAGCTGTGGGCCAGGGGGCCTCCTGATCCACCCAGCTCCCCCTTTTCCCCAGGGGCCTGAATTGAACCGAGGCTGAGTGTGAGGGGAATGTTTGCTGTTTGCTGCTGTTCCCTGTTGACTTTAGCCAGTAGCTCTGTTTACAAACCCAGGTTGGTTTTCCCAGCACAGTTAATTAGACCAAAGACATCTGGTGTAAGGCTGGGGAGGGCATCTGCTCAGAGCCTTCCCCCGACACCCTGCAGCCTGCAGCCACGGCCCAGAGCGGGATAGAACAGCTCCATCGGTACAGACCGGACTCCACCAGACCCAGCGTTCTCGGAGGAATCATGGCTTCCTTCACCCTGCCTTTCCACACTTGCTAAGTCGGACTGGGCCCCAACTCCCCAAGCCATAGAGAACAAGGAAGTCCGGGCTGGACTCAGCTCTCTCCTTGGTCCTTCCACGTCCAAAGGAACAGGGCATAAATTCCGGTCCCTTTCTCATCACAGACACTGCATTCTGTAGGAACGCCAGACCTCTTCAGTGAAAATCTCCCCTTCCTGGACACACCCCCCAACCCCCTCCACCCCCCCCCAGAAAAAAAGGCTCTGGACCCTTCTCCTCCCTGACCCCTCCCCAGCCAATCCCTGACACTATGAGGACGACAGAGATTAACCTGGCCCAGAGGGAGGCAGGAAGCTGCCCAAGAAGGTGAGAGGATCTAGGTGGGCAGTGTCAGGGCGGCGGGGAAGAGGAGAGCTGAGAGGGGGAGGGGCAGCGGCTTATCTCTCCCAGGAGGGGGGAGCTCACTCCAAACAGCTAATGCACTGGCGTGTGAAAGCCCCTCAATTAGCACTAATGATGCAATCAAGGAGGGAGGAGGAGGGACCGAAGTTCTGGAGGCGTCAGCACCAACTTACACACAAGGTACACATTCCCTTCATCGGACACAATGGCCCCTTCAGACACGCCGAGGCACACACTCCACAGACAGCCGTCCGTGGGCACAATCGCACTCTTTGCGCAAGCTACTAGCATGCACATGGTTCCCGGTACGCGGCTGACCCCGTCAGACCCCAGGCATCCTGGGGGTAGGGAGCGACTCCCAGCTGCATTTGGGACTTTAGGGGCAAGGAAAATCAGTAACACTTAGTAAAAGGAGTTGAACAGGGCATCTCTGGCGAGTTCACGAGCATTCCTCTATGCCTAGAGCTCCTATCCCACGCGCGCTCGCAGGTGCTGGCCCGGCTGCGCCCGCCTCCCCCTCACCATCGCCCCAACGCGGAATCCGGGGCTGAGCGAGGAGCCACCACCCCCGGCCCCACCCGCGAGAGGCGGGGTCCACGCGCCTTCCCTGAGCCCAAACCGCCCCGAAGCCTCCAGTCCCAGGAGGCAGCGCTGAGATCACTCGGATCTTCGCACCCCGGACTTAGCTGCCCGTCCCCTCCGGAGCCCGTTACCCGCCGGCCTCGCCCCTTTATCTTCCTCCCACTCCGCCCGGCCGGCTCCGTTATCCACCTCCCGATCCCGTTATCTGGCCGCCCCGGCCCCGTTGTCCGCCCTCGCGTTAGGCGCGGAGTCCCCGCGCGCCTCCTGGCCGCCGCCCCCTTCCCCGCGCCCCAGAAGGAGCTTGGGGGACAGCGGGCAGGGCAGGGCCGGAGCCGCCTCCGCGCCGCTTCCCAGGCCGGGACGGCCGCGGGAGGAGGTCCCGCTGTCAGTCAGCGGGGAAGGCCGGGCTGGGCGGCCGGAGGGGGCGGTGCCGAGGACGGGCTCGGGCCGGGAGCGGGAGGCGGAGCGGCGGAGCGGAGCGGCGGCGGGTGGCGGGCGGGGCGGGGCGGGGGCGGCTCCGGGCCTTATAAGCGGCGGGGGCAGGGCGGCAGGGAGGCAAGTGTCAGGCCGATGTGTCGCCCGCGAGGGGCCGGGGTCGGGGCCGCCGGGGCCATGCGCGTGGGCTGGGCAGGGGGCCAGCGGGGCGCAGAGCGGAGCCGCCTCGGAGCCTGAGCCGCCCGGGGCCGGGGCCGGGGCCGGGGAGCCGCGCGGGGCCGGCCGGCCGGCCGGGGGGAGGGGAGCGATGCGGCGCCGGCGGGCGGCAGTGGCCGCGGGTTTCTGCGCCTCCTTCCTGCTGGGCTCCGTCCTCAACGTGCTCTTCGCTCCGGGCTCGGAGCCTCCGAGGCCAGGCCAGTCCCCTGAGCCTTCGCCGGCCCCGGGCCCGGGCCGTCGCGGGGGCCGCGGGGAGCTGGCCCGGCAGATCCGGGCGCGCTACGAGGAGGTGCAGCGCTATTCCCGCGGGGGCCCCGGGCCCGGGGCGGGCCGGCCGGAGCGGCGGCGCCTGATGGACCTGGCTCCGGGCGGGCCCGGCCTGCAGCGCCCCCGGCCCCCTTGGGCCCGGCCTCTGCCCGACGGCGCCCCAGGCTGGCCCCCGGCTCCTGGCCCAGGCTCCCCCGGCCCGGGCCCGCGCCTGGGCTGCGCCGCGCTTCGCAATGTGTCCGGCGCGCAGTACGTGGGCTCAGGCTACACCAAGGCCGTGTACCGGGTCCGCCTGCCCGGCGGCGCCGCGGTGGCGCTCAAGGCGGTGGACTTCAGCGGCCACGATCTGGGCAGCTGCGTGCGCGAGTTCGGGGTACGGAGGGGCTGCTATCGGCTGGCAGCCCACAAGCTGCTTAAGGAGATGGTGCTGCTGGAGCGGCTGCGGCACCCCAACGTGCTGCAGGTACGAGGGTGGGGACGCGGGAGTGACGGTGTTGGCTGGGAGTGCCCAAGACCTTGTCAGCCTGGCTGGAAGATAAAACCCTTGATCTGGAGTGCCAGTGACTGCGCCCAGGCTAAGCTAGACGCAGAAGCCGGACCATGGCGCTTCCCACTGCACCACCCTGCTTCTCGCTTCTGGGTGGGCGTCCCTTTACCGAAGAACTCCTGGGCTTCTCCGCTTCCACACATCTCTTAAAGACAGACCAGGACAGAGGCTCCCAAAACTCAGGGGTGGGGCAGTCCATTAGGGCTTAGGACTGTACTTTGGGCTGGAGTTAGGAGGTTGAACACCAGGGATATTACCCCAAGCCAAAATGACCCTAAGCCAAGACACTTGAGTCAGAATTACAACTGTGTGATAAAGTCCCCCTTCTTGATGGAACTTCTCTCAACTTCCAGTGATTTGTCTGGTTTTGAAAATGAAACGGGACAGCAACGGGGTTGGGAAGAGCTGAAAAGAGACCAAGTGTCAGCCTTGATTCCCATAGAATTTCCCCACCCACCCACCCCCAGCGCCACCCCAGAAGACACTGGAAGGGGGCTGGGGGAGCAGGCTAGAAAAAGGGAACACAGCCCTTCCCAGAAGTGAACCAAGGGTTCCCCAGACCTTAAAAGTGGGTCCTTGAGCCCCTGGAGAAGCCTCAAGGTCTCAGCTCAGAGGACAGACTGGCGGCCTGAGGATCTAAATGTCACACTGTCTGAGTGTATATAGATAGCCAAGAGGCTGGAAGGTTGAGAAGGCCAAATGCCCTGGTTCCTACTCAATGGGACTCTGCCTTGCCCGTTCGCTGGAGACACAGGGGAGAGCTGAAACCCCCACCTTGTCCCCTCAAGCTAGACTTAGAGTGGGCCTCTCACAGTCCCAGCACTGCCCTTATACTACGTCCTTTCTTTCAGGTCTCCCTCCATCCTAAGATTAGACAGACTATTCCCTTTGCACATATCTGAGCAAACTGAAAGGGGAATCCCTGACCGCTGTTGGCCCGGTGAACATGGGGTGTGTGCAGCCTCCCCAACGGATGAATCTTGCACACACCTTCCACCTCCCAGCCCACTCAAACTAACCTTTCTGCACCCGGCAGAAATGACCGGAAACCCAGGAGTCCCTCTCTCCTTTCCTCAGGAGTGAGATGGTGCCCCAGCCCTGGAGGGAGATGGGTGGGCATCGAAGAGTAGGAGAGATTGGCCGAAAAGCTGTTTATACTCCTGTTGGCTCCCAGTCTCGCCCTCCTCCATTGTATTCCCCCACCCTGGTCAGACAGTTGTGACCAGGCCCTGGGCCCCAAGCTGGTCTCGGGAGCTCGGGCAGAACCAACAGTTGCGTGTGGTGAAGCCCGGCTGCACAGCTCACACTGTGTCTGCAGCTTCAGGGAGTGAGCCCCTGGTTACGTGGCCATTCTGACTGGGAGGATCTTGTACTCTTTGCTTCCCAGGGACTCTTGGGAACTTTTTGGAAACTCTAGGGTGTCAGCCAGATCCTGAGGGAGTGGAGAGATCTTGAGTGACTTAGCAGGACATAAAGTCTTAGTTACGTGACTCAAGACCGCTCTGCCTTCAGACGAGTTTGATGTTTGATGTGCTTTCCTATCTTTTAAGAAACGTCTCCCTCACTCTTCCTGCCAGCCCAAACTTCCTAACAAGCATTCAGCTAACGCCCCACGCGTATATCACAGGACAGTCCTCCTCTGAAATGTCAGGCCCCCAGCCCAATTCTGAAGGCACCAAAGAACAAATTACAACACAATAGTTTCCACCCTTCTCTCACCAAACCAAGACCAGGGTTGTCTGGGGTTGGCTGTGTGACTCCTTATTGTAGAGTCCCAGACTCTACAATAAGAGTTAGTGGCCCCAGGGCACAGGGTTGCTAAGGGAGAAAGGGTCACAGGTCCTTTCTACCCAGGAAAAGTGAAAAGTGAAAAGTGGGGGGCCCTTTAGTGTGAGTTTAGGGACTACTTTGAGGGTGGCTCTCCCCCATTCATCTTCTGACCGCCGGCTGTCTTTGCTGGCAGGGAAGCCTACAGTGGGGTCTTCCTGGCCAGGAGGCTTCAGGGCAGGTGTACAGGGAACTAGAAATAATGCTGCTTTAATACCTCTGAGTCATTTAAAATTTCAAAACCATTTGACTGTTTGCTGAACTGGGGAGGAGTCAGAGAACATTTCTAGAGTTCCTAGTGGTGCAGGCCCACCACCCTTCCTCTCTGAGCAGCGCAGAGTTGGTGCTGTGGATTCTAATAGAAAATGCCCAGGCTAGCAGGCCCCACTCTGCACCTCCCAGGGCTTTCTCTGGTCATGGGGATTGCCTGGGCGAGATCTTTCCATCCATCTTCTTCGACCCCTCCCCATCCCGCCCCTGACACACGCACACACACTCCCTCACGTGACTGACTCCTCTATAGCGCAGGGCCAAAGGGCACAAGGGTCTTCCCTCCCCTCAATTTCTCCCCACCTCTCCCCTGTCATCCTGGGGCCCCCAGGCCTGCCTGGGCCCAGATTCTGGCCCTGCTAAAGTATATTTCTTCTCCCAACCGAACAAAAGATGTGACTGAAATGCTCAGCCTCACGCTTCCTGGGGGGGTTAATGGTGTCTTTTTATTTTTTCCTGAGGGGTGTTGATTAATACCTCGTTAACAGCGCATTTAACGACCTCCGGGTGTTTAATAACCTTCAGAAGTTTCCCACAAAGGCTCAGACTCTGGGCAAGAAAATGAGAACCAGGCCCCAGGGCTGTTCCCCTTACCTTCCCCCCACCCCACCAGGATCTGGGGCCTCCCTGGACTGATGGGAAGGGGGTGGAGAGAGAAGAGGGTGCCTGGAGCTGCCCTGGCCCCCCAAGTCACAGCCCGAGAGTGAGGCCTTCCCCCATGCCAGCAGGATGACGGAGAGCTGAGGGGGCACTCCTGGGGCGGAAAGAGGACATGTGAGGACCTAGAGTGGCTCTGGGGAGGGTGTGAACGATGGTATGAGGGTGACAGTGCACAGGGATATCCAGGCCATGGGCTCAGCATCCCCACCCCTCCACTGCATAGTTCTCCTCTCCCCCAGTCGGGCCTGGACAACTCGGCCTTTGTGTTTCTACCCCACAGGGTGCTGGTGGTTTTGAGCACCATATGAGCCCTTAGCTGCTGTGGAGTATGCTGGAAGAGCCAGGGAGAGGCCTGAGGATGCTGTTTAGGTGGTAGTGACAGTCAGACTGTGCTCCCCAGAAGTCCCTGGGCAGTGCAGAGCTTCTCCCCGCATGATATCGAGTGGGCAGTTCCCTGTGAGGGTAACCCCAAAAGAGCTGATCTTCCAGGAGGAATCATCACTCACTACCAACCCCACTGATACACATCACTCATATGCAAAACACACCCCGGCATGTGCCCTTAGGTACCTTGTTCTTATCAACACTTGTTACCAATCTGAGGGAACTTGCTTTTCCTCCCTCAAGACCCACACAGAGAAAACTGAAGCTGCCAGAAGGTAGAAATGGTGAGGGATACAGATTGGAGGAGGGGAGGAGGGATAATGCCCAACCCTATGCTGGCTTGTGTTTTAGCAAACAGCATCCTTAGAAAAAACAGCTTGTGGCCGGGCACAGCGGCTCACGCCTGTAATCCCAGCACTTTGGGAGGCCAAGGCAGGCAGATCACTTGAGGTCAGGAGTTTGAGACCAGCCTGGCCAACATAGTGAAACCCTGTCTCTACTAAAAATACAAAAATTAGCTGGGCATAGTGGCAAGTGCCTGTAATCCCAGCTACTCGGGAGGCTGAGGCAAGAGAATTGATTGAACCCAGGAGGTGGAGCAGAGCTGAGATCATGCCACTGCACTCCAGCCTGGGCAACAGAGCGAGGCTCTCTCAAAAAACAAAAAAAAAGACAGAAAGAAAGAAAAACAAGTTGTAGAATCCAAGTGGCACAAATTCACATCTTAACGCCTGCACTGATGGGCTGTGCCACCTTATGCAAGCAACTTAACCTCTCTGAGTCAGCCTCCTCACCTGAAGTTGGAGATAATAATAGTACCTACCGTGCCCATTATAAGAATTGAGTTATGCACATAGAGCAATTTAGCAGGGTGCCTGGCACGTGGTTAACTCCCAGTGGCCAGACCTGCCCATTTACCTGAGTCGGAAGGGGTGAGGGGCTGGCTTGATGAGTAGGAAGTCTGACTACAGGGAAGAGAGGGCATGCTTCCCAGGCAACGCTGCATTCTCTTCTGGCCTGAGCTGAAGCAAAGGCCTAGGGATGGTGGGGGGAGAGAGGGGGGGAACCTGACAGTCCAGCCCTTCCCTGTCCCCACCCCCACCCTGTGACCTAATGACCTGCCCTCGGCTTTCCCCAGCTCTATGGCTACTGCTACCAGGACAGCGAGGACATCCCAGACACCCTGACCACCATCACGGAGCTGGGCGCCCCTGTAGAAATGATCCAGCTGCTGCAAACTTCCTGGGAGGATCGATTCCGAGTGAGCTTAGAGGAGGGCTCGGGCCCTGGGCTCCTTGCTAGGATGGTTCTCCCTTAGAAGGCCAGCCCTCCAGAGCAGCCCCCACTCCTCCTCCACCCAGGGAGAGGGAGGGGAAGAAGGCGCACAGGCTGACTCAGCCACCGGCCAAAGTGTTCAAAAAAGAAGGAAGACGTAGAGGATCCCAACATTCTGTGCTCTTGCCCTCCTCACCCTTCCTTGTGCCCGTGTTCACACCAGCTTGTGGGGGCTGGCACCTTAAAGAGGGGAGCACTCACACACTCACACTCAGCCTGACCATGGGAGGGCCAGTGTCCTAGAACGAGGAAAGACCTTAATACCATGTTGACCCTCCCGCTACTTCCATACACTGAACTAAAACTACATTCAGGATGCAACTTCAGGGAAGAGATGCATTACCCCCAGACCCTCGCTGCTGCCGTTTCCCACCCACTCCATATCATTTGCAGGGTCAGGCCAGCTGAGAGTTAATAGGAACTCACTGGCCTCCTCTCTAAGGCTGCTGACCTTGGCCTTTGTGGAGCACTGGGACCTACAGAAGAGAAGTGCCAACCCCCACAAGCAAAGTTCAGATTCCACAAGGAGGGCGCCCTCGAGTCCCACAGACCCCCACCCAGGAGAGAGGCAGTGAGCAGTCTTTTCTTCTGCCCCTCAGATCTGCCTGAGCCTGGGCCGCCTCCTCCACCACCTGGCCCACTCCCCACTGGGCTCCGTCACTCTGCTGGACTTCCGCCCGCGGCAGTTTGTGCTGGTGGATGGGGAGCTCAAGGTGACGGACCTGGATGACGCACGTGTGGAGGAGACGCCGTGTGCAGGCAGTGCTGACTGCATACTCGAATTTCCGGCCAGGAACTTCACCCTGCCCTGCTCAGCCCACGGCTGGTGCGAGGGCATGAACGAGAAGCGGAACCTCTATAATGCCTACAGGTGACCTCCACCCCCGATTCAGGAACTCCATCGAAGGAGAATGGGCCAGGAGGGCATGGCAGGTAGAGAGGCAACGTGGAGGCCAGCTGGGCAGGGAGACTCAGCCTTGACCAGAGTGAGGGAAGGCTTCTACCCTGTCCAGAAGGGAACGTTCAGGCTTCTGATGGGGAGGCTAAAAATAGCTCCAAGGAGAATCTGTTAGGGGGTGGCAGCTGGAAGCTTCTTAAAATAGTGTTGGACTCGGAGCCTAGGGCTGCTGGAACTGGCACTTTTCCCTTCCTACCCAGGCCCTTGTGCTCTGGGAAATTCCTCACTGGGCCCCAGCCATGGGGCTGCTCTGACACCGGGGGTCAGTCAGGGGATGATGTGGGGCTGGGAGGTGGGCAAGTCCTGGGAAGGGATGGGAACCAGGCCCCTGGTTTCGGTTAGTGTGAAGTTAGGTGTGGTCTTAGCATGCACCCAGCCCCCTCCCCCGAGGCTGAGTAGACTTCACAGCAGCCTGCCTGGTTGCTAAGCCTGAGGGATGCGGCTCCCTGGCCAGGTTAGCGTTTACCCCAGGTTGGAATAGAGGAAGGATGTGTCTCCAAAGGCTGGATCCCTGAGCCACTGGTTTCTCTCTGCCACAGGTTTTTCTTCACATACCTCCTGCCTCACAGTGCCCCGCCTTCACTGCGTCCTCTGCTGGACAGCATTGTCAACGCCACAGGTGAGCTCTCCAGGGCCCATCTGCTTCCAGGCACCTTCCCCCCGCACACCCCCCAGCAAAAGTGGGGAGAAAAATAACCCAGGGCAGCAGGGGGTCCAGAAACCATCACTTCCTAAGGTGGCATTCTGCTGCAACCTCCCCACTCCCCAACCTTCTGTTCACTGGGGCACAGGCTCTGGAGGCAGAGCCGGGAGCAGCTGGCTGCTGACTTCAGGGAGGAGTGGGAGCCCCAGGCCTCCTGTCTTAGCCACACTGCACTCTGCAGGAGAGCTCGCCTGGGGGGTGGACGAGACCCTGGCCCAGCTGGAGAAGGTGCTGCACCTGTATCGGAGCGGGCAGTATCTGCAGAACTCCACGGCAAGCAGCAGTACTGGTGAGTGGCCCCAACCTGATCCACAGGGAAGCGAGAAACAGGTGGGAGGGTGAATGACCCCGCCCAATTAGGCTAAGTGGCCTATTTCTCTGTAACCCTTTCTCTGGTTACCCTTGTCTCCAAAGGCCACTCTAGGGGCTCACACAGAATCGTGGAGGGGCTGACATGGAGTAATCTGAGGTTCCATCTCTAGCTGAGCTAGAGCAACTATAATTCTGCCTTCAACCTGGGGGTGGACACTGACACCCTACTCTGGATGGCTCCAAACCCTATCACGTACTGGCTATGTGACTTTGAGCAAGTTACCCCTTGAACCTCACTTTCCTCATCTGTGAATTGGGTTCACCATTACCCACCTCACCAAATTCTTATGGGAATTAAATGTCAGGTGAAATGTGTGAAAGCAATTAGTGCAGTTCCTATGACACGGCTGGAACACAGTATATGTTTGCTTCCCTTTCCTTCCTCTAATCTCCGGGGGCTAGAAGGACACTGGATGTTAGGGGAGGCACACACGGAAACCAGCCAGGAAGCTCCAAGGGCAGGGGGAGAATTCTGGCCACTGGTTTCAGGCTGTGGTCCTTCTGCTGAAGCCCTGGGGTTTAGCTGGGGTTGGCAGGGGTTGAGGGGTGAGCAGCCTCCATATTCAAGGAGCTCTGGCTAGTCTTAGGGGTGGGGGAGCCCTGTTAGCCCTGTAAATAAAGTTTAACGAGGTGAACAATGGCTGGCTCTGTCCCTGAGGATGCCGTTTATGGGGCTGTAAATCACAGTCAGCCCTGGACTTTGGTCTAGTCCCTGGTAGAAGGAGGCAGGAGGGCGGGGTGGCCAGAGGCCCAGGGCTTCTGCATTATCAGCCCAGAGCTGGGGCTCTCCAGGCAGTGGGAAAGACAGGAGCAAACAAGAGGCCAGCAGCCGAGCAGCTCACTGGATTGTGAGTTTTCAGAGCTTCTGAGGCTCTCTCTGTAGAATGAGATCTCAGATTTTTCCCTCCAGCCCCGTCCACACTCTAGCCATGGATTTTTTGCATTTTAGTCCATTTACATGCCTCTTAACTTCAAAAACCCCTGACTCCCTTCCATCCCAGGCCCTTCTGAGGAACTTGCCTAACTTCTCTCCCCAAGGCCAGGAGAAAATGTGAATGAAGGTTGCTCTGAACCCTCGCAGGCCACACTGGATGCTGGTTAGAAGTGCAGATTCTCAGTTCCACCCCAGACCTACAGAATCAAAATCTCCATTTGATGGGGCATGGTGGCTCACACCTGTAATCCCAGCACTTCGGGAAGCTGAGATGGGAGGATCCCTTGAGCCCAGGATTTCAAGGCTGCAGTGAGCTATGATTGTGTCACTGCACTCTAGTCTGGGCAACAGAGTGAGACCCCATCAAAAAAAAAAAAAAGAATCTGCATTTTAACAAGAGTCCTTGGTGGGATTCACGTGCACACTGAAGTTTGAGAAGCCTTGGCTCTGTCTAAAATGTCCTGACCTCAGCAATTTGCCTAGACAGCTGGGACTCCATGGGTCCCTGTATATGTCTGTCCCCCTTGCATGTGCCTGCTATCTTGTACTGCCTGACCCAGCTGTGTGCCCTTAGATTTGGGAGATATGTATCTCCTGAAAACCAAGTCTGTGCTTTGTCTTTTTTGATGAATCAGCCCAGTTTCAACAGTGGTAGCTGCCTTCATCTCCATGCTAGAGGGTTGGGCTGGACTTTAGCTTTGACCTAGGTGATGAGTCTTGCTGCCCTTTTCAGAAAGTGACACATCCCTGGGCACTCAAACCTGGGCATACAGAGTTCTCATTTTACTCCATCCCCAACCCACAGAGTACCAGCGCATGCCAGACAGCACCATCCCCCAGGAGGACTACCGCTGCTGGCCATCCTACCACCATGGGGGCTGCCTCCTTTCAGTGTTCAACCTGGCTGAGGCTGTGGATGTCTGTGAGAGCCATGCCCAGTGTCGGGCCTTTGTGGTCACCAACCAGACCACCTGGACAGGTGAGCCAGTGGGAGAAGCCCTTCTAAGGGAGATGGCAGGACCTCTCTGGAGGTTGATAGATAGTGATTGCCCATCGTAAGTCAGGGGGGGTGCTGAGATGATGAGAGAGAGGTATACGTGTCTTCAAGGCAGTCAAATTAGGGAGAATGGCCCTGCATCCAGGAAGAGAAACATCCAGCCCTGTTACCTCTCACCTCTGCCCCCCAGGTCGGCAGCTGGTCTTTTTCAAGACTGGATGGAGCCAAGTGGTCCCTGATCCCAACAAGACCACGTATGTGAAGGCCTCAGGCTGACCTGTCTGAGGGCTCGGCTGACCAGCTGACTATCCTCAGCAGCAGGGCTTGCCTGTGGAGGGAGTGACTTGCACTGGCAGCGCTGCATGTCACCTGGGAACCCCTGCAGACAAAGCTGACATCCCAGACAGACCGATGTGACCAGGACAAACGTGCAATAATGCCAAATGTTAAAATGTGAGTTTACCAGCCTAGCTATGGGACTGCAGGCTCCTAGTCCAGGAATCTTGGGGGGATGACTGCCTCTCCAACCCTCTGGGCTGCAAGCAAGCTCAGGCTAGTCTCCCCAGTGGGGGCTGTGTCCCTCCCTGGGACAGTTCCGTGAGCAGCCCCGTCACTGTGTTCAGTAGTGTGAGAATGTAGCTAAAGCCCCTGCTGCTGCTGCTGCTGCTGCTGCTGCACTTGCCACGGCAGGCGGGGGGCTGCGTGGGGACAATCCATCGCTGAGTGTTCTCTCAGCTGAGGTCTGGACAGGAGACTTGGCGGGGGAAGCTCCAGGATGTGGGTGATTCTGTACCTGGGGAGGCTATCTCTGACCTCCCAACAGGGGGCAGGCACTCCCAGGCCAGCCCAGGGGTCAGGGGCAGAGGTGCACACTTCAGCATGAGCCAAGACTGGGGTCGGGGAGCAGGTGTGGTTTGAGCCAGGACCTGGGGTGGGGGTGGGGCCGGGGCCTTTCTGCCTCATTTGCTTTCAATGAAAGCCGCAAAGCAGCCAAAACCAGGCTCTCCCCGTTCCTGGAGTTTGAATATCCAGAATCTTTTGTACTTCTTGTTCATTAAATTGTCTATTTTTGTAAAAAAAATAAAATAAAATTAGTTAATAAAATGATGTTTCACAGCAAACTCTTCCCCAGCAACAGTTTCTTAGGTTGTGACTTCTTGGTCCTCAGTTATGTCCTTGGTATATGTTTGTGGGGATGCGTGTGTCACAGGGGAAGATGAGTGAAATCTCAGCAGCAAACCCTGAAGTCATCACAAAGTGTTTTCAGGCTCTGCTCCCACCCATGGTGCCCACCTCCCACTGGGCCCTCCACATCATGTCCCCAAAAAAGACATGGGGACTCCCTTTTCCCCCAAGGAAGTTCTCATTTTTACAGACCAGCTTCTTAAGTATGAAGCCCTAACCCAGTGGAGTAATGTCCTCATGGTGGGATGTCAGCCATGAAGGGGTCACCAGGGGTACTCGAACAACCTGCAGGTGGGTCAGCTTTACCTCTGCACAGGGTTGGACCTGGCCTGCGCCCACCACAAGGTCACGGGCACTAAGCTTTTCTGAGTCTTTCTCTGAACATGAAATATATGAACAGTCAGAAGAAAGGAGGGTCTGTGGAAAGACCAGCTTCCATTTTGTCGATTGTAGGAGGGAAGGTCTAGCCAGTCTGTATCGAAGCCCAGAGCAAAAACAAGGACCTGCGGGTTCGGGATCACACGGAGGCCAGAGAGCCCCGCCATGAATGCAGGGCTTCTGACTTGAAACCCACATCGTCTCTCCTATACACCATTCTACTTCTAGAATATTCTGGATGGACGCAAACCTTTGGAGGCTTTAAAAAGAATAACCAAACTTTAACCTGATTTCTCCTCAACAGATGTGGTTGGTATAATTTCTCACATAACAAGATGTCCCTGTAGTTCGAGGTGATTGAGAGCCGTATTAGCTCTGGAGCGCTCATCACAGTTGTCACTCTGACCCTCAGGGTTGCAGCTTGCCACTGCCATCCCCAGCCCACACACCTTGCCTCTGGTATTGGGCTTGGTGATTGTGGGTGGAGGGGAAAGGCAGAGCCTCCAAAAAGCCTCACACCATGACAATGCAGCCAAATCCTGCCATGCTCACCACCCTCAGACTATCCTTATCCCTTGAAGGAGGACCTCAGCTTCCATCGCCCTGGGACCTCTTTCCCTAGCTGAACTCACTCCATGCAACATGCGTAGCCCACCCCACGCGATCCAGTACTGGACTTTACACGATCCTCTATTACCCTCCAACTGTCATACGGTCTATGGGGCTCTGAGGGCCAGAGGAACCACATCCACCAAGGAGGCACAAGGCAGGACCAGAAGTGATGAGAAACTGAGGGAAGCGGACTGGGCCAGGAAGTGTGCGAGGGCTGCATAGTCCAGAGAGACCAAGGACCCAGTAATAAGCAGAGAGGCCTGCAGGACCTAGGAACCACAGGACTCTGGGGAAAAAGACCAAAGTGAACCAAGCACTGCCTTCCCGGCTTCGAGAGATTTCCAGACGAGGGGTTCACCAGCCCCTGGAGAGGGACAGAGGGAAATAATACTTCCAGAGGGCCAGGCTCTGGCCTCAGCAAGGTACAAAATTATTCCAATTTTACAGCCCTGAAAACTGAAGCCCAGGTAACAGCTGCTAAGTGTTTGAGCGCGCATTCTAATCCAGCCTCCCTCCGAGCCTGCGCTCTGGCCGGTAGTACTAAGTGCTGTGTCCAATAAGGGACCCGTTGCAGCAGGAAGAGTGTGAGTTAGAGTTAGGGAAGCGCCTCCTTCCTGTGAGTGTGTAACAAACGGAAATGGAGGTCCTGCAAGTCATAACATCTTTTTAGAAAGACTCACGCACAGTGGCTGAAGGGGATAGTGGACGGCTTCTTCCTTAGTGAGTGAGCCTTGTCCCAGAACCTATTTCTGGGGGCAAAAATGGCCTGATTCAGTCCTGCAGAGTCAAGAGAAGGGCATTTACAACTGGGAATGGAGAAAGGATGGAGTACCAGAAAGAAAGGGGAGGTAAAGGAAAGCCTGAAGCAAAATCATTCCTCTCCCGGATGACCTTTCACAGGGAGCCACCTATTTCATCCAGAAACACACACCACCTCCCCTTCCACCCACCAAGCCCACGTTCTTCCTACTCCACGGCAATGCTAGTGATACCCAGGTGCAGTGAACGGAAAAAATACATTCACCCAACTGAAGCCTCAGGTGACAGTCGCCAGAGGAGGGAAGGCAAGGGTGGGGATTGGGAAAGGATCCCCCAGTTGCGTTCCTGAATTGAGGAAGCAATGCAGGAGGGCAGTGTGACCTAGTGGTTCCCCGTGAGGCTCCGGAGCCAGCCAGAGCTGGGCAGGAGTCCCAGACGGTTCTGTTTTTTGCGCAGTGTGATCTGGTTCATGACAACCTCCCTGAGCCTCCATTTCCCCATCTGCAAATTTCAGATGAATCATCTGCTTCACAGCAGCCTTACAGAAACTGAGTAAAATCCTGCCTTAGCCAGGGTCAGCAAACAGTACATGCTTAGGAAATGCTGGCTGATGCTGTCATTGTTATTATTTATTAGCGAGCTGAGCCCTCAGTGTTATCCATGGCCTGGCCTGGAAAAACATCCAGGTCAACTGCGGGGGACCAAGGCACGAGCTGGAGTGCCCACCCCTTGGCTCTGCAGCGCCCCCTCTGCCCCGCCCCACCCTCCCGCCATAGGGAATAGGGCCTTCAACTGGGGGAGGTGGGGCCCGGCTCTCTGGGTCAGTGCCCTGGGAGTTCAGTGTGTGGTAGACAGAAGGAGGAAGAGGATTAACATGAAAGCAGAAAATGGGATTAGGAGGCCTTAGGATAATGTGCCCACCCACCCCCCATCCATGACAACAGCTTCTTGCTTGCACGCCGAGGCTTCTGGAGCCTGGAGCATCTAAGACTTGGTTGCCCCTGCTCCTGAGGGCAGAGCCAGGAAAGGAGACTTGGACTCTGAGCATGAGACTACTCAGTTCACTAGGAAGAGGGGTGGGGCTGTAGCTGGCTGCAGGGCAGGCCTGCGTGACTTTCTGTGCACTTTCTCATTTAATCCTTACGGCAAATCTGAGAGGTGGGTGATGGCCCAGAAAGGTGAAAAGTAGGGATCCAAGCCTAGGCTGTTGCCCCCAAAAGCCTGTGTTCCTTTCCCTCCACCCAGGAGCACACCCATGTATTGCCCTAAACCTACAGGAGCAATGATCCACTCACACCTGCCACCTCCCCTGCATCATCCGCACGAGTGAGGATGTCCCAGGGACCCTGACCTTAAAGGACCCCTTTGAGGTCTGTGTGAAGAACATTTATGTTTTCTCCTGTTCACCTCTCGTGAACCCCACACAAAGGCTACCCCTGAGGTGGACAGAAAGTGGCCACATATTCCCACCTACGGGAAGGAGATAGACCCAAGATATTTCTAATTAATTGCTCTCTTAAGCTACTAAGGATCCCTCCGCTGTGTTTGGGGGAAGGGTTCCTTCTCCCACTCTCATTCAGCCAGGGCCCTGGTCCGCTCCTTTTTCAGCAATTTAATGGCTTGTTGTCCTGTCCATCCTACGCAGCCCTAGGCCCTCTGGCCTCCATTCCAGCCCAGAAGCCTCCCAGGGATTCAGCAAAAAAAGGAATTTCTCCTCTATCAGACTTCAAGGTCCAATAGATAGCACGGTTGTGCATAAGACACATTTTAATAAAATGCGTATGTCCAGGGGAACCAAAGGATAGCACTTTATGAATCCTGAGCAGTGGCCCAGCAAGCTATTCCATCTCTATCCACACCCAAAGGAGGGAGTTGAGAGTATTACCAGGAACTCAGAACCTGGCAAGAAGAACCAGGAGTCCAATGTAGATTTGGCCTTGAAGAGTGAGCAAGGACGCCACCAATAAG